CTTTTATAAATTTTATATAATAAAAAATAAAAATTATATGACAATAAATTTTATAATGAAGTAATAATTGATTATTATTTGGTGAACAAAATAAGTAATATTGTTACTTTTTTATATAGATGAATACATATATATGCTAAAACTGAATTTATATTAGTATAATGTGTTAACGGAATAATATATTAATTAACATGTTAATGTTCTTGCTAAATAAACATCACAGATTAAAACATATGGAAAATAGATTATTCGACCCTATTATTTTTTGTGCCTAAATGGACAAGCCCTATGAAAATGATTCATATAATATATGTGTCGCGTGCATCGCACGGGGCTAATGTACTAGATATTACACATCACATCAACTTTAATTCACTATTTATCCACTCATATAATTTTAACTAACCATCACTTCGCTCACCTATCTCCTACTTTTTCATCAAACCAACTTTAATTATTTTATTTTAAATATTATTTTAATTTAAACTTAAATTCTTACCAATCATACCACTTTTTTTAAAAAATTAACTATGGTTAACAAAAACATCAATCAAAAAACAATAAAAAACCAGTCAAATACATATCCAGTCACACTCATACTAACTAGAATGCTATCATGCACGGCTGGTCTACATAAATTGTTTTAATACAACCTTAGTGTATTCAATTAGAACTTTTTGAGACTTCTACAATGATTACATGTGTTCAATTGAGACTTATAAAGATTTTTTCATAAATATCTAGAAGTCTTAAAGTATTCAGTTAAAACTTTGTGGGAGTCTATATAAGGCATTCGTTATTCAAAGTATGAAGACTTTCTGTGACTTTTTAAATTTTAAGACGTTTAGAGACTTTTATAGCAAAATTACAAAGACAAAGTTCTAGCACAAATCTCATCAAACTGGTGAGATTTGTTGGACTTATGTGACTCTCTTCATACTCTTTCTTCTCTATATTTTTTTTCGAAATGATAAAGGTATTATAAATAAACGCACAAATGTGCAAAGATACAGCCACTAGTTGAATTTTACAACCAACGACTGAGAAAACTGGGAGGACAGGTCCAAAGACCGCCTAGATCCGAAAGCTAGCAATGCTAGAATACTCGGTGACACCCTAGAACACAAACACACTTCAGAAACTAAAAGCTCCCAAGAGGAAAATGAGAAAACGACCCCAACAGGGTAATGCTCACTTAATACTCGGGCAACACAGGGGCCAACGGCCTAACCAAAAACACATGACTGAACGACAAAACACAAGACTAAACAAGACTAGACGGGCAAACTGAAAAACAAAACTAAAACCTAACGACAAACTACAAGAACGAAGCCCTACCTCGGCAGAACATCCGAAATGATAAAAAACAAAGGCCTACTCCAAGGAGAGAACCGAAGCACAGGACCCACGCCCGCCACTGTCTATCACCTAGCAAAGACGAGGACCTGAGTCCTGTATCAATCCAAACAAATTAACCCGCTCTCCGGCTGTAAGAAGCCACAATCGCCTTCCAACCGGCTAACACCACTAGCCCAGTCCAACACCGTCCCGAAATCGACTAACACCACTAGCCAATTCTGGAAACGGTTGGCCTCCCTCGAACTCTGAAACAGAGAACAAGGTAGAAAGAGGAACGAATAGCGTCAAAGCCCCACCAGACCTACATAGCTCGGATGAGCGACCCGCTCTCCGCCCAGCCTCAAAAAAGGAACCCTACCCATCACCCCAGCAACGTCGAGATGCCGGCGACTGTCGCGAAACAACCCCAACGGGGAATAGAGATCAGGAACATAGCTAACCTCAAAGCCCGGTGAGATGAGTCGCCACAACCCGGCGAGAGCGCAGGCGGTCCGAGCCACCACCATCTCCTGGCGCAGTACTCCACCATTCCCCCCCTACTCCGGGACTCCGGCGATCTTCACACAAGTCCGAGCGACCTGTCAAAACCCACCCGCACCCCTCAGCAGACGACGGGAGAAGAAGATCCTCGCGCCCAGACCATGGTTGTGCAGTGGAGAGCCGTCATCCGATAACCCGGACGACAACCGAAGGAGGCGCAACCGGCAGAAATGGACGAAGGCTAGGGTTACAACGATTTGGAGATTTGGGGATGGAAGGGTTTTTTAGAGAGTGTAAGATTTTTTTTCTTCTCTATATTGTTAATGTACCCGATTTTATGTTTATAAATTTCATACTCTGTTATTTTCTAATTTATTTTGATAACTTGTATAACTTTTATTTTCATAATGAATACTTTTAATGTTATTTTTTTTTGTTTTTTTTTATTATGGTTTACGTGCGTATAATTTTATTCTCTAATTTTGCTTGTTTGTGATTTGACTTTACTATGTGAAATGTTTGTATAGTTTGCACATGTCAATAATTTATTTGTCTATTTTTATTTGTAAATTTAGATTTTTAAAATATTAAAAGAATTATTTTATTTGGTAAGAGTTTATTGTTCTTATATAGACGTATATATTATTGATAACTTTAGAAAATACAAGTATTGTCTTTTGGTGATGTTTGTTTCTTGTAAAAATAATCTAATAATTTTTTTCTAGTATTGCAACACGATACAAAAAAATAAAAAATTAATCAATAATTAAACAAATATATCTTGAGTAGTTGATTATGAGTGTCATTGTAGTAGAGAAGGGTAACACATGTTTGAGCTTGTGCTCATTTAACAAACAAGTATAAGGTTCTGGTCGAGTTCAACTCGATGAAGCTCGTAAAAGCTTGAAATGACTTGCTCGTTGAATAAATCTAAAACCCTAAACATGTTTGATATGGGATACTATACCGAATGGAGTAAACTTGTCGAGTAGGTCGAGCAAACCGCTTGGTCGAGGGGAATCCGAACAGAGTGGTCGTGGTCGAACATTACAGGATTAAGAGCCTCTGATCTAGAAGATAACTTAAAGGGGATTTCGGTATATGGAGAACAGTTCGAGCCAGAACCCTCAGATAGCCTGGTCGATACTCGACTTGTATCAATAAATGGCCGCCTGACTAACCAAAATCCAGACATGAATCAGTCAGAACTTCCCCTTAAATCGACCTAGAGTTGATCTAGCGCTTGAAGATAAGACGGAATCTCAGGGACTCAAGCCACACGTGGGAAAAACCATGTGGCATCATTAAATTGGTCCACGCCTCATAATCGTCTATGACACATTCTGGCAGAGGAATTGTACTATCGGGCATCTAGGGCAGCCAGCTCATCACATCCGAGCATCCTTCTAGAAACATGTACATCATCGATATATATAAGGTTGAGATGCATATTTTCAGCTATTACGGTCATATTACTCCATTTATCCCAGAAATCATCTTCTACGCATACTCATTTAAGCATCGGAGGCTCTTCACCGGAAAATCCCTCCAGTGTGAGAGTTTTTGCAGGTCGAAGGCATTCAACCGCCAAGGGAGCATGTGAGCAAGTCGATCCAATCTGGTTGGAGGTTTTTTCGTACTATTTTGGCAGTGTCTACGGGACCCGTTTGAAAAGCTGGCAAACAAAGTCCGAAGGAAAAATTTACAGTCGTCGTTCGACGATGCGTGGACGACGACGAGGCCATTTGAAGTTGGCCCTCGTCCGGGCTTCTCTAGACCTTACCAAACCCTAGTGACCTCAACTCCTACTCCTCAAGGTTTTGGGAGTTCATCGACAACCCCTGTAGCAAGGTAGGCTCGAGCTGGGGGCAAGAGGTTCAAGCACCGCAAGGGATGGTGGTGCCCATACAACCACAACCAGATGTAGCCAGAGTTCAGCCAACAGGAGCGATGGCGCAGGTGGTGACGCCACCGAGAGTGGACAGGGTGCGACCTAGTAAACAGATGGTGGAAATGACCAGGGAGAAGATGAAGAGGATGATTGCCAATGCATCAGCGCAGGCGGTGCAACAGGCCACGCACAGGCCAGGTGGACAGTAAACTAGCGGGACGCTCGAGGACACCCCATCTCGAGGGAAATTTTGGCAGCACCACAAGCGACCAACTTTAGAGAAACCATCGTGATGTATGAAGAGTCGACCGACTCATCGTTGTATTGCACAGATATCCGATCCGGTAAGTTGCAGGGCATTTCTTTCGACCCTGTGGGAAGGGGCACTTGATTGGTTTCATCAACTTCTCCCAGGGTTGGTAAAGAATTTTGAGAATTCTTTCAAGAGGTTGTTGAACCAATATGCTATTGCAGTAGCTCAAGAGAAAACGTATCTGACGTTGATGGCGATGAGGCAATGGGAGGGGGAGTCTTTGAGGAAGTATGTGGCGTGTTACAACCAGGCGTGTGTGGATATCTCTTCTGCTTTTGATGAGGTTAAGGTCTGGATTGATAAGAAGTCTTCGAGCTGGCCCGTGTTGGAATTCTTTGGCCAAGACACTAGCTCGAACGTATGGCGAGGTTCTTAAGAGGTGAAAAAATATGTCAACTTGAAGGAAAAAAGTTTTAAATCGAGTAAACCATGTGTAGAATGACTTGGGACAAGTTTTTGTTTTGTATAAATTCATTTTGTGGGGACCACGTTTTCGAATTTGAGTTTAATTTGATGGATAACGGAGGAAGAAAAGAATTTTATTTCGCATGATCATTAATTTTGGACCTTTCGATCTTTCTTTTCGAACTACTTGTTGTTTTGTTTGTTTGGGGACAAGCAAAATGTTAAATGTGAGAAAGTTATTTGTTACTATGTTTTTATAGTATTTTTCGTGTGTTTTTCATGCCATATAAATACCATTAATTTTGGTATTTTCAAAACTTACGTTTACATTTCCAACGCGTGACACAATTCATTATAATGACAAAAAATAATAATGCAAAAATCAAATAAACCATATAAACATAAATAAAAAGTAATAATTTTAAATATATAATAAAAATTATGAGTGAGTGCGCACTTTACTCGTAAGTAAACCATAAAAACAGAAAACAAGCATTGCAATAATTACATCATTCTATAGTTTCTTTTACTTTTCCTTGTTTCGAAAATAACCTATCGTTTTTGAAAGTTAAATGCTCGGATAGAGAAGGCGAAGATGAAGGCAAAGAGCACAGCTATTCCAACTATAATTATCGCAACGTAACCCACAAAATCATGCTTAAAGTCGAAATAATTCAACACGAATTCTCTAACTGTTTCACCAGTGTCGAGCTTGGATTCAACGTCTCCAAATTGTGATGCCACCAATCCGTAAAGCGTCCAAGCAATCGGACAAATATAATAGTACCATCTCCACCACACCGGAATCCTCTATATATATGAAAACAAAAGGATATATTGTGTCAAATTTTTGATAACCGGGGGCATCAATGGTGCGGTCCCACACAGTGAAGCACACCATAAGAGGTGAGCCTAGTTGCACCTTAGTGGAATTTCATCCCAAAACCAATTGACGATGAGAGGAGTAGTTCACTAAGTTTATAAACTAGCTCATTTACCTTATAAGAAAAATATTTAAAAAAAATTAAGTAGTTTTCTGAACTACTTACCGTTTTTGGGATGATGAATCCGGAAAAGAGGTTCCACAACGCGTAGAAAGCAGACGAAATAATGGCGGCTATATTGTGATTAGGCGTGACGGCCACTGTCATCATTCCATACAGCGTGAAGTACAAAAGCGTAAAGAACATGAAAAAGAGGTACCAAAAGAACTTTGCCACTGTCCACTCGAACCCGATCATGGCGTATACAATTACGCCGTATATGAGCGCCTGTATGAGAAGGTTCGGTAGCTCAACCACAGCCTGCGGGGTAGGGGGTGGGGGGGGGAGTCACTAAATTGGTTCTAAATTGGTAAGATTTGAGAATTAATGTTGTTGCATTGATTTTTTCAAGTTATGTGATTATGGTTGTGTTTGGAAATCAAATAAGCTTGCTTATAGCTTATTAGGTAGCTTTTCAAATAAGCTAGTTGAAATTCTTATTTCAGCTACCTTATCAGCTAATTTTATCAAACACTTTTATCATATAAGCTAGTTTTTCAACTCAAAAATCACGTATAAGCTAATAGCTAGCTTATTAGCTATCAGCTAGTTTTACTTTTACCGAACATAGTCTAAGTACCTGCCCGAATGCATATGGCAAAGCCGAATACATTCCAGCTGCTCGTTCTCTATAGAAAACGGTTCTTTCTATAGCGACAACAGGTTGTACTGAAGTGGCATTTTGTACACCGAGAAATAAAACAGCTGCGTACATTGAACCCATTGCATTGAATATATCTTGCTGCCTTCTCCTGCAAAATCATGCTCTTGTTGTTACTTACAGATTTTTCTTCCGACAAACATTTTTTCTTTTTGGCACCAACCTTTTGGAGCCGAGATCCCAGAAAATGGTCCCGAACATGACAGCTATGAAGGTGGTGAATAGCAGCCGAACAGCCGTGTAAGGTGGGTTCCTCCAGTATGACCAACACTGCTTCCAAAGGCAGGCCACACACTGTGTCCAGAAAGACTGAGAGTACTGTTCTGGGAAGTGCAGATCCTGCGAGCCTGGTGCGGGTACACTCAGCTCCTTGATCAGTGCTTTGTTTCTCCTTAATTGTTCAACAAAGTATTTGAAAATCAAAATTCAAGTTCAAAATGTAGTTTCATCTCGACTTTTTGTTATGCTGTGTGCTACTACATGGATATGGAATAATCGATCTTACTGGTAAAGCTCGGAGTTTTTGTATATTTCGGAAAAGTTAATGCCGAGAGCCGATTCTTGTGCCATTGAAGTTACTTCCAGCATCCATGTTGCCGGATTATAACCGTCTTTGATTTTGCTGATCCCATCTATCCCCTGCTTACAAAATCAGCATAAGATGGACAACATTTATAACATCAATGTAAAGAATCAAAATAATGCCGTGTGGTAATTTTACTCGCCTCGAAATATTTGATGAGGTGAGAAGAAAGGCGGCCTAAGGGACCAACATATATTTCTTCGCCTCCTCGTTTGAGCAGTAGTAGCTGCAGTTATTCACGACACTGTTAGTTGTTTCTTTCTCAATACATCAAAAGGAAAGTTTGTTGACTAAAAAAGCAATTACATACCTCATCAAAAGCATCAAAAATGTCGATGCTCGGTTGGTGGATGGTGCAGACCACAGTTCGGCCAGTGTCCACAGTGTTTCTAACGGTCCTCATAACAATAGCCGCCGCTCGGGCATCGAGCCCTGACGTGGGCTCGTCCATGAATATGATGGAAGGATTAGCAACAAGCTCGACTGCAATGGTCAACCTCTTTCGTTGCTCAGTCGAGAGCCCGTTCACGCCTGGCAGGCCCACGAGCGCCTCTCTCAATGGTGTAAGCTCTACTAGTTCCATCACCTCTTCTATGAACATCTGCAGTCAACATATGTTACTCTATAATTCAATGATGAATCACACGTATTAAGGGGATACTTCTAAAGGGGAAGGAAGGACCTCTCGTGTAGCGGGGTCCACTTGAGGAGGCAAGCGGAGCCAAGCCGAAAACTGCAAGGACTCGTATACGGTGACGTGAGGCGAGTGGATGTCCGTTTGCTCACAGTATCCTGCAATACGCGCGAAAGTCTCTTGCTTCTTAGGGTAGCCTGATATCATGATACTCCCCTGAATGTACCCGCCGGTTTTCCGGCCGGCCAGCACGTCCATTAAGGTGGTCTTTCCGGCTCCACTAACGCCCATTAGGGCAGTCAACACTCCGGGCCTGAAAGCCCCGCTCACTCCTTTTAGGAGCTCCAGCCGGTTTTCTTCAATGCCATGAGCTCTCATTTCCTGTTTGTTTTTTATTTTATTTTCTTGACAATTTATAATTTACATACTATTGATGAATACTTGTTACAGGAAAATCGAGATTTTTTTACCTGTGGCATATCGACCGCATAACGGACGTCGTCAAAAGTGATGGAAAGTGGCTGGAAAGGTAAAATCATTCCCCTTTTCCTATTTGGATCTGCACTGCTCGTGTTTCGCATACTAGACGATGCACTAACTTGAGCATTTTCATCTCTTCCTGCATACATCACCATTACAAATTTGAAACAAAAAAAAAAGAGCATTTCGACAAATGCTGACCGACTCGCTTACCGGAAGTTCTCGTTTCTACAGACGACAGCTCACCCAACTCGACTCTCTTGCTACCACTCCTCTCTGATAACGTCTCTTCCGATAGTATAGCTTGCGGTTTTCCAAATGCTGTTACCAAAAATAGCCAGTTATTTAACATTTGGATACATAAAGATGGAAACATGATTACGTAGAACTTGCTAAATATGGAAATGCTTACGATTGAGATAAGTTAGAGCCATAGTCACTAGAAAATTTAACAGAAGTACGTATCCAATGAGTGCTGCCACACCGATCCAATACCAACGAGCCTCCGGAAAAATTCCTCGAGACTTCAAGATTGTCACCCCTAACGGTTCAGTCGCGCCAGCTGGAACCTGAAATATATATACATATACATAATCAATCAATATCCTATACACAATAAGAAACAATCAAATTGTCTCTTCATTTTCTTTTAACAAAATCTCACATAATTCCAACTCTTTCCTAGAAACTCATTCACGGCTATCGCGTTCTGCCCGTACATCAGAGGCGAAATCCAGTAGCCCCATATCCACCATTTCCTAACATTCTCTGATAACGAAAAAAAAAAAGTAAATTAAATCAAAATCTTGACCAAACACGACTTGGCTAACACAGACTTCTCTAAAAAACGCATCATTTTGATACCTCTCGACAGTATAAATCCACCCAAAACGAGAACCGAAAGCAATGCGCACGCCCCAAACGTGTTGGCAACAATCATGTTCCTTCCCAGTGCCCCCATGAGGCGGAAAAGCCCAGACGCCATTTGATTGATGCATATAAGCAGAAGCCATTGCTTGAAAAATCTGCCATATTATTTATTTATAAAAGAAAAACGAAATTAGATTCTTAAGGATTTTCATGCTTATATATGTTTACAAGAATTGTAGCCGAAAGATGACTACATCATTCCCAAACAAATAGCCGAAAGACGACTACCATATTAATTTTAAATACAAGAATGGATATGTTTTCATGCTTATATATGATTACCTTGATACATCTGAATCGTATCCGGTGACATAATACGTCATTCCCACCCAAATAGCAACCTCGAATAGCGTGATCGGGATTTTGAGTATCCATGCTGGCAGAGAATATACCCAAGGAGGGAAAAATAGAAGGTCCCTCTGCTTGTAAAAGACTGGAAGCTTTAGTATGCTTAAGGCGAGCTCTGAGAAGCCGTTGAACATAAGCATTATGAGGGCATAAAAGAGGGCACCCATGTAAATTCCACCATCCATCACCGTTCTCTTGTGCATCTCAGTTCGCAAAAATACCGTCATCGATATGGTGGCCATAAGTGTGAGCTGTAAACCCCGTAAAGCTTGTATTAAGTGAATAAGCTATAATAGTGTTTTATAAGATGCACTGATTTTTTTTTTCTGTTTTTATCCTAACTACAATCACTTATTGATCTTACTTGTATCATCTTGAATATATAGACGAACGAATTCCTCTTCATAAGCAAAAACTCTCTGGCCACGCATGCTTTTACAAGCTCTTTTTTGCTCACGCCATATTTGTTCGTGGTTAGAGCAGCTGGATGGCTTTTCTCCTTACTGAAAGGGACAGCAAGCTCGTCTCCGAGCCTCCGTCCTATGTGGAAAGACTGAAATGCTTCGGAAAATTCCTGCACGGTTACATAACTGTAGGGCTCATCTCTGTTTATCCAGTACTGCTCTTGATCCTTCTTTGACGTCACCTAAATAAATTTCAATTCAAAAGGTTTACTTCAATTTTTTCCCCATATATTTAGGAGTTTAAAAGGACAAAAGGAAACAAAAAAATATATATATATGATGAATAAGATATTTTTACTTCTTGCAAAAAGTCGGCCACTCCTTTTCTCTCGGGACATTTGAAGCCCATGAACTCGAAAAATTCGAGCACATTCTCGCGCGGGCCTTGGTACACGATTAGGCCATCTGAAAGGAGGATTATGTCATCAAACAATTCGTAAGTCTCAGGTGCTGGCTGTAGGAGGGAGATTAAGGCAGTCCCTTGTAGAATGTGGATCGAATGTTTTAACGAGTTCACGATTTGGAAGGTGGTCGAGCTGTCCAAGCCAGTCGATATCTCGTCCATGAAGAGCGCTCGTGCAGGCCCCACCATCATCTCCCCTGAAATGAATCAACTTTCAATTTTAAGTACATGAGGTGGGAAAATAAGCTTACTAAATGCCCGTCAAGAGAAAAAGTAGACGGTACCTGTTGTTAGCCTCTTTCGTTGTCCTCCGGAAATCCCCCGGACCATTTCGTCCCCGACTAAAGTATCGGCACAAACTTCGAGCCCCAATATCTGCAGACAAAAGTGATGTTTTTGTCTAATTTGGTTCTTTTGCAGTTTCTTAGACCCAAATGTGATAAGAAGTTAGTGAAATTGTTACCTTGATTATGTAATCGGTCACGACACTCGCTTCTTGCCCTCCAATAGATGCTGCCTGTAGAACAAAAACCCAAAATCTCAAAAAAATGAACTAATAACAAACATAGATATATACTAAATAAACCCCACAAATTTTCTTCCGAAGCTTATGATCAAAACCTTCATGAAAACGTCGAGATCAGGGTCGGGCTTAATGTTCGCCTCCTTTTCCCTCCTAGACAACTCAGCTAGTATTTCTGCAGATCCCATTTGAGCAAAAAACTAAATAAAACTCGAAAAAATTCTCCCTATTATGTAGCTAAATCGAATGTTTTAACACGATCAAATGAGAAAATGGTGTATCGTACCATAACGAGATCCTACACCTTGGCATCTAGCCGAAAAGGCGAGTGTCTCTCGAACTGTCAATTCTCCTATGTGCAGATCATTCTGGCTTATGTAAGCCGACGTCCTTTGCGGCACAAATTCCGTCATCTCGTGCCCGTTGTACGTCACTCTTCCCGACACCTGCAGACCACAAAACGAAAAAGGCTCCTCCGATCAGAGATCAAACTAAATTTTTTCCATTTCCTCTCTTTTCTTAAGACAAATATATTTCTTTACTTTTAGCTCCGGATCAAGTTTTCCGGCTAACGCCAGCAGCAATGTGGTTTTCCCCGAACTCGGCGGCCCTAACAGGAGTGTCATTCTTTACCAGAAAAAAAAAAGAAACACAGAGTTAATTGAAGTTATTAAGGAGAATGTAAAATAACAAAACAAAGGCTTTTAACTACCTTCCAGGCTTGATTATTCCATTTAAATCATGGAGGATTGGCAATGGCTTCTTTCTGCTCGGGATAACATGAAGACATGACAAGAAACCCTGTAATAAGAAAAACAGAGTAAACAGAGTCAACAAATACAGAGCAAAAGAGTCAGATTTATTGTGTCTGAACAAGATTTGAAAGCTACCTCCAAGATATTAACAATAAAATTAAACACAGTGGGCAAGGCTCTTCCCTCAGCATACGCGTCGGCATCCACATTCAAATGCTCGAATCGAACTTCGATAGTCGGGAGATCAAGGCCGACCCTGTTTTTTTTTTTCAAAAAATAAAATTTAAAAAATAAATAGTAAGATAAATTTGAAACTCTCTCATTAAACAAGAGTTTGGGGAATAGTTTTAACCTCTGAATGCGGTCTTTGAGATTGAGCAGAAACCTCTGGTTGCCTTCCTCGGCAATGGTCAAGAGCCGGTCGACGAGGTTTTTCTTGTCGACGAGTCCGAGGTTCTTTACGTCTACTTCTCGTGACTTGCCTTGTTCCTCGGTGAGTATGCCCCTCTTGATACGAATCTTGGTCGGGAGCCTCTCGAGCGCGGCCCACCTCAGAGCTTCCTCGTCGTCTTCTTCTTCGCGGGAGGACCTCGAGAAAGCTTCCATGCCGGTGTTTCTCCATATGTTGGAGCTATTCACTCTGAATATTTCCCCACCTTCCATTTTTTTTTTTTTTCTTTAACTTTTATTTCATGAAGGAGAAGATGGAGAAAGTTTTATGATGATGGAAGCTCCATGTTGGTGCTTTTCTTTTCGTTTTGTTTAATGTGGCTTGTTTTCTGTCCTCTTCACCGCTTTTATAGTTAGTTTTTGGTCATTTTGTGGGAATCGTCAGCTACTTTATTTTTAAATTATAGGGAAATGCTACGGTCCCGTTACGGAATCATCCCGTTGAGAGTTTTAACCGTTGGATACACACGTAGTTAGTACAAGATAAATGATCTAGCGCTTAAAACACCCGACGAGATGATTCCGTAATGGGACCATAGAATTTCCCTAAATTATAATAGGGGAATTGGGGAGTTTTTTTTTTTTTTTCAAACCATTTCATAATTATAACACATAATTACAATCGGGTCAATAGCTGAAAAAGGGAGGCCTACCCAAAAGGTAGCTTAAATACACAAACACAACACTACAAACACACACAACACTCCCCCAACGGAAGAATAAAAAACTCCCTAACGGAAGAATACACACTCTAAAACGGAGAAAAAAAAAATACACAAACGCACACTTACAACACAACATAAACCAAACACCAAAAGGAACACAAAAAGCTACCAAAAGAAAAATGCCTTCCCACAGCAGCTGAACCAAGCAAAACAAAATCGACGCCGACACCACGGGCGACCACCCACAAAGACAGAAACCCGGTCCATGTCACGAAGCCAGAAACTGCAGAATAAACACCTAACTAGAATCGAGACAAAAAAACCTTGCCCAGTCCAGGTAGACAACCCGAGACCCGCAGTCGGAGATCAACAACAAGCTCCACCATTCTAGCCCCGACAACCCAAGCCCAGGCCACGAGACCCGACCCGGAATCCGCCAATGCAACCGAAAAGCCCCAAAAGCAGAGAAATCAGGAGAAAGAAAGGGAACGAAACGGCCCGATCTCAGCCCGACCACCCCACAAGAGATGATCGAAGCCACAGCCCTTAATCTCAGTCTCGCCGGAAACTCGCCGTCGGGGAACCGCGGGCCAAGACCCTCTATGGCGACCTAATAGGAGGCGAGAACCAGGTTGGGCAAATCTGTCGATTCGCCCCGAGAAGAGGGAGCTGCTGGGGAAGGCGAGGTTTCGGCTGAAAGAGGGTTTGATTGATTAGGGTTTATTTTTCTTTCGATGAGATAGAAAAGATTTGTGGTCAAAAGGTAATGAAATCTACAAATGGGGAGTTTTTACCTACTAATCTTGAAGGTTCACATGTCTGAAATTTAGAATTAAAACTGATATTAGCATTCACAATAATTTTACTTAAGTGGTACGTAAATAAATTCAAGTTTTAGGTAACATAGATAGAATTATAGAAAAGTAACATAATTCACTCTAATTAAATAGATTGGATCTCAACTTGAGTCTAAAATAAACTTAAGGATTTTTTATTGTTGGCACAACAATAAGACCCAGTCTAATTGTACTTGCATTGAAGAATACATTTTTTTGGTTCAGTCTATCTCCTAATTGGCGTATAATTTTTTTTTTAATAAACTCAAACCATTATGGATGCTCTAAGAGCACCCACAATGTTTTGGTCTCTTACAAAAATATTATATTTCATGTAGGAAATACACTTAGTCTATTAAAAAATATTTTCCATTGAAACTAAAAGTGGACTAGGTCTACCTTATGTTGCAATCTAAAAATGAGACCAAGTCCACACTTTGGTCTATTTTGGACCAAAGTACAAATCTGAACAGCCATCATTTATTCCTAATTTATTTTTTCTTTTAATATAAAAATATATTAAAGCATTTTTATTGGTTGGCAGATATTATAGACCTAGTATTTTATTTTGCACTCGATAGTTTTTGGATTTTTTTTAACTTGAGTTTGTCCATGCCATTCAAGACTTAAGTCAATTTATATGTCACGTATTAAAATTGAACCCAATGCATTGTGGATGTTTTAATATCAAATTTTAAAAATTTACTTATTCTGTTGTTAACCAACCATTCTCCAAAAAGACTAGGAATCTCTCGATTGTGAGATGCACAATCAGTCCATACTACCAAAATATTTATGTTTATAGAAAGTGTTCCCAAATTTTAAACAAATAGATTCAAAATTGTATCAAAAAGCTATCGAAAAAGAACTTATTCTCACAAATACATCTAAGAACATTGATAAAATAAATAAATTATACGGCAAAAATCCCACGCAAAATTGTTAAGACACGACTTTTAGTATTTTTTTATTTTTTTTTATTTTTTTGGATGAATTCATCTACTGGAGACCGTGTTTTCAAATTGGAGTTTAGTTCTGCGGATAACTGGATGAAGAAGAGAGTTACATTTCGCAAGATCATTAATTTGGACTGTTTGATCTTTCTTCTCGAACTACTTGTTGTTTTGTTTCCTTGAGGACAAGCAAAGAGTTAAGTGTAAGAGAGTTGTTTATTGTGTTTTTATCGTGTTTTTCGTGTGTTTTCCGTACTTTCGTCGAGTCTTTTTAAGTTCGTTTTGGTGGAGGTTTGTTGGCACATTTGACGAGATGGCTACTGTGACTGGAAGAAGATGGTGGACGGCGGAGGCGGGTGGCGAAGGCGATGTGAGACGATGCTGTTGTGGCCAGACGGCGGAGGCGAGGCTGCAAACTGGTTGTGGAAGGCAGAGGCGTGGTGGAGGTTTGTTAACGACGGTGGTTGTTGTGGCCGTCTCCGTCAGAACTCTCGTTGTGGGCTCTGGACGAGTCGCCGAAATAGGCGGAATGTGGCGGCATCGGGTAGGTTGACGATGGCGACATGACCGGTGGGCTTGGTGTGGTGGTCGGATTTGTCTTATGTCCGACCGTGAACTATAGTGGGGAGGAAGGAGAAATAAATAGAAAGAGAGAAAGGAGAGAGGAAAAGTAGCTGTGTGTTATTAGTTGGGCCCACTGATTTTGTGGTATGGTGAAATTACACAACTGCCCTCCCAGATATATTTGTCCGTGGGATAGTTATATAATTACAATTTTACCAATGTAGATTTGACTTTGTAACTTAATTTTGAATTCATAATGTCCATTGATATAACGGATCCAACGATACATATATATTCTCTCTCTATGTATATATATATATGTATATTACAAGATGTGAACATTATCTGTAGAACAATTGTTTGGATTGTTTAATATTGTTGATATCTATGATATAATTCATACATTTTATTATTATTTTTCTGTGAGTTTCACGGGCTATGAACTAATTTAGTACTGTTAGTATACTTATATTTATATATATACTCTGATATGAATTCTCTCTCTTTTTTTTTTTTTAATATCTGATCCCTACTGTGAAATAAAGTAACATAAGGTCAACACGAGATTTCGCCAACTTGGTGGCGCACATTATATTTGTTTGTGGTAGTCAACAAAATTGCGAACTTAATAAGAAACCAGCTCATAATTAACGTGCTCAAAATTCCCTCTAATGTCATACCGTTTTGCCTTTCAAATTACTAATAAATGATGATGGCTTTAGTTTTTCTTTACACATTTGTCTCCATTTT